ATGAGTGGCTTTTATATCTTGAACAGAAGAATGTCATGCTATTGTATCCCAATGTATACGTGCAACAAAGGTAGCTTATGCATCCAAGTACTGGTTGGATTCCGGCTTAATGACTGAACAGACGTTGAAGCACAAACATCGGGATGTGTAACAGACAGTAGAAAAGAAAGCCTTCATCGGAGACAGAATCTGACTCATTGTTACTCATACAAACATCCGAAACACCAAGAGTTTCAAACTGCTCAGCTCGCCATTAATTACAAGGAATATAGCGCGAGCACATGGTTCCGATACATTTATCCATGGGTAATGTAACTACTAGATGGGAATCGTTCAAGAATTTCCCAAATTAAAAACATAAATAAATTAGGAAATAAATGATGTTTGAGAATATTCTTTGATACCTCAAATGCAAGGAGAGAAGAAGAAAGATAACTCTGATAATAGTATGAAGAACATGTTGTATCGGGAGCATAGATGGAATAAAGGGGGCATCGAGAGGTGGATACGGGTCAAAAGATAAATTTAAACAGATGATGAAGAGGAGATATTGTTTTGGATAGCATTGGATGGAAGGAGTGGCTGGAATAAAGAGATGGTTGGGATACAAGGGGAAATGATAGACCAGATAAAGGGAAGGCAGAGGGAAGATGATAGTCAGTTAGAGTGAAAAAGAGAAATTATATCGGAAAGAGAGGATAGCTTGTAAAGAGGAGAGATGGTGATTGGGTGCAATGGGAAGTATCTGCTATAGAACTGATAGAGAATGGAATAGAGGACGAGCTGGTAGCTGTACAGTATATAGTATAGATCAGACAAAGGTGAGAGTTTATTTGGATGGGGGATAGACTAGAATTGGCAGCATACGCTATATTGGATAGTGGATGCTGTAATAGATAGAGTAAGATCTATTATGTATGAAGCAAACAAGAAACTAAATCGAATATATATGAAATACTAAATAGCCAAAGATGCCTTGTGCATATTTCTATAAGGTGTGTTCCTTTATGAAATATTTACAAGATTTAGAAATAGACGATTCTTATTATAACGGATCTCCGGAGGGCCCTCTGTGAGTAATGGAAGATACTAGTATTTCAGGACACACTTTTTATTCTTAATATTTTGCTTTTTGAACTTTTGAAGTTTTGAACCCAGACATTTAAGGAAATATATATTTTAGTTGCCAAAATGCCAAGACAAATTTTGAGGAATCTTGCAATTCCCGCTTCTCAAGAATGGAGATGGTATTAGTTCTGTTATAACGATTTCTTGGAAAAGGATCCTTTTTGTTAGCGGGAATGGAAATAATTTGACATAAATTAATTTATTCTTCTGGCCAGAAAAAGAAAAGCTCAAAGTAAATTGGCAAATCAAATATTTTTTCCAGAGGTAGCAGATTTTCAGTGAAATAATAAAATGTCTTTATAAATGGGAGATAGCGGTGCTCAGTGTATACACTTAAAACAATTCCTCTATAGATATGGGAAAGAAATTAATCTCTGTATTTCCCTTTAAAAATTACTATTTATTCCTCTCGACGGCAGACGTAACCCTCATACCCAAACCGGACAGAGACTGTACGAACGTGGTGAATTACCGCCCCATATCCCTCATTAACTTCGACATGAAGCTTTACGCTAAAATCCTGGCCACTCGATTGAACCTTATCCTCCCCAAGCTCATCCATGCGGATCTGGTGGGCTTTGTTCCGGCCAGACAATTATATGAAAATACTAGACGAGCAACTGATCTGATTTGGTGGGCGGGCAAGACGAAAACGCCTTCTCTGGTCCTATCCCTGGACGCAGAGAAGGCGCTTGACAGAATCCAATAGCACTATATGTTTGAGCTCCTCACTGCGATGCACTTCCCAACCACCTTTATTAGAGCAATCCGAGCCCTATACACTTGTCCAAGAGCCCAAACGTTAGTCCCGGGAGCATCACCGCTCCCTTTTGAACGGAAGAACAGAACCAAGCAAGGCTGCCCTCTATCCCCGCTCCTGTTCATACTGGCGCTTGAACCATTGTTACATTTGATAAGAAACAATCCGAACATAAAAGGGATGACAGTGGCATCGGAGAGTTTTAAAGTCTCTGCCTATGCTGATGACATCCTGCTCACCCTCACTGAACCATTGGATTCGGTTCTCCCCCTCCTTGACCTATAAGACACTTACCAACTAATCTCAGGATATAAAATAAATCTTGATAAATCAGTAGGCATGCCTCTGGGTATCTCAGAGGCGGACGTTCAACTGCTACAACAAACGACAAATCTTAAAATCACCCGCCAACCCATTAAATATCTAGGTGTCCGACTCAGAGGTCATAGGTAAACTGATAACTCCAGACCCCTGGACTTTTCTCATAGCGAAACCCCTTGACAACCTACTTCATAGAGAACAAAAATTATTAAATAAAATTAACCTAGCGGCCAGATGGGCACTTGCACAAACCTGGCTCCAGATTGATATGCCACACATAGACAGAGTGATACATAACATTAAAGAGGCACACCTTATGGACAAACTGACGGCACAGGTGAGAGACAACTACCCACTCTTCCTCAAAACCTGGGAACCGTGGGAAGATACACCAACCGCTGAGTGAATCGAATATGTGGACTTGTGTCATCCCACCCCCCAACCCACCGGCTGTGGTAAGTTACACCGCCTCCCTCTCTCTTCTCTCCTATCCCTCTACTATCCTCTCCCTACATTAATCATTGCCCCCCCACCCCACCACTTCCCTTCCCTCCTTCCCCAATCTCTCCCAAGGTTGGGAAACTGTGAATTGTTCTAAAAATGTAATTAATGCATGGCGAGTACCTGAAAAGACTGCCAGTACAAACAAGTGAGCCAACAAATACCCAAAAATACAGGACACCCACAAGCTAGCAAACAAATCTTGCATGATCTCGTGTGCTTGGGTACTCGCATCCCGTAATCTACGACTGGTTTACAAAAAAGTACCCACAAATGGGGAGCTCACAGAGGATACCCTATAACACACCAGTGTCCTCCCCTGCTATTCTTTACTGTATTTTTACACTGAGGTACAGCATGCCCTTTTAGCTAAAGATGATGCAGGTATTCGCTAACTTTACAACAAAAAACTCTTGCCAAGTGGTACAAAGAATGTCACTCGTTTAAATGATACATGTGGTACAAGAATATCGATTATGTAACGTTGTTTATGCGTATTTCATACCATATGGCTTTCGCATAAGCCCGAATCTTCCTGTTATATTGCCAACTTTGTCAAGATGAAAAAATAAAGAATTAAAAAAAAAAAAAAAATGACTATTTATTTATACAAACCAGGACAGTGGGAACACAAACACAATTGTGTGTTTTATGTTTTGAAAACAAACACATTACACGTCAATACCTCCTGTTTTGTAAATACACCATAAATATTTATTGGGAAATACTAACTCTATGAGAATATACATAGACTGCTGCATTACAAAAAGCTAATTTTCATCATTGGAAAATTAGCGTTGTTTCATTATTTAAAAATGTTCATAATGTATTTATAATTTCCCATTAAATCATTTAATTTTCCATTAAGTCAAATGACTATTAAATGTAATTTATATTTCCCATTCACGAGTGATAGAGCATTCTATCTAATCTGGCCACCATATTTATTTTAAAAACCATAGAGTCTATAAAACCATCGCACACACACAGGTGACATGTATGTCAGGAAGACAGACTATATAACATGTTACAAGGGCAGAACAGGGTAGTTATCTTAAAGTGATGAAATAAACCAGGTCACTCCTATCTTTCACAGTCTTTTAAAGCGCTACCTAAACTCAACATGTCATCAACGGTAGAAAAGAAAAGTATGGAGGATCCCCGAGCTGTAGAAACTAGCACTGGGCCCGATGCAGGGATTAATGGAGTTCTTATGGAGTCACATAGCCTCTAAACATCCCAGGGATGAGGACCCCAGTTGTTGTATCTTGTCAGTTGATAAAAGGAGTGATATTAAACTACCACTACAGTCAGTTTCTGAGAAACTCCAATAATCAGGTTGCAGGGTTAGGACTGCCTCTATTGGTTAGGCAAATGTTGGATGCCTGGTGCTGGACATCCTCAAATGCAGCGTTAGTCAAATCCCCAAAGGAAACCATTGCAGCAATGCTTCCTTCCAATGGGGAGGGCCTAATGCACTTGCGGTGTACAGCGTGCATGCGCAATAGCTCCCTCCCCCAATCAGGAGACATCAGAGCGAGCAGAGAGCCAACCCTGCTGGAATCGGGTACACGCAAAAAGGGTTTATAATTACAATGCAATGTATCCCCTTAATTGTTTTCTGCCAACAATACTACATGTTAGAAAGTGTTATCAACTTAAAGACAGATTTAACTTTTGTTGTTGTCATTGATATCATGGTATTGAGATGGATGCTGAGATCATGAAATTTGGCAATTTTGTGACATTTTCTGCATGGATGGATGGATAATTAACAAAGGATAAAACTTGTTACATTTAATATTTTTGGATACGCTTTCCAATTGATTTAATATTTTTGGATTAATTTTTAAAATTATAAATATAATAAAAGATTTGAGGTAGTATATAGTGACAAATGTGCACTCACACTTTAAAGAGCTATATAGAGCTCTGCTGTTGAAGGCGTGGACGGTACAATCCCCATCTTAGGATATACAGCAGTGGTGATGGTGTATTCAGCAGTAGTGATGGTACATTTCTTTATGTGAAGACAAAAACAGGAATATCCAATAGAGTAGTATGTAAGATACAAAAACTACTTTCTGGAGTGGTAGTAGGTATTGTACTCACATTTTTGAGAGCATGAACCTGCTCTAGTGTAGTTGAGCGTTGGTGGTAAAATCCCCACCTGGAATATCTAGGTCCAGAAGTGTGGGGGTTAGGTATATGAAGTAAATGCCAGATAAATAAAAAAATATTAAATTTACAGGGATAAACTTTATTCTAGAAATAAAAAAAAAGTGAAGCATAAGATATCAACCAAAATGAAAGTATAAAAACACACTTAACGTGATTCGCCATGGGGTTTCATCAGAAGTGTGACAGGTGTTTGAAATAAATTTGTTTTATATACATAAATCTGCAAATCTATTCATAAACAGGGCAAAACATACGACATGAGGTCACACATTTAGGCTGGAAGAAAGGAGATTTCATCTAAGGCAAAGAAAAGGTTTTTTTTACAGCAAGAGCAATAAGGATATGGAATTCTCTGCCTGAAGAGGTGGTTTTGTCAGAGTATATATAGATGTTTAAACTGCAATTGGATAAATACTTGCAAAAACACAGCATACAGGGATATCATTTCTAATTAGTGGGGTAATAGCTGCTTGATCCAAGGAGACATCTGACTGCTATTTTGGGGTCAAGAAGGAATTCTTTCCTAGTTTGTTGCAAAATTGGAAGCGCTTCAGACCAGGTTTTGTGCCTTCTTTTGAATCAACAGCAAAAACATATGTGAGGACAGCTGAACTTGATGGACGCAAGTCTCTTTTCAGCTATGTAACTATGTAATAAATGTTCAATAATAAAAGATGATGAGCAAAGTTCTGATTGGTTTCCTAGAAGACTTCTGTTTTGCAAATTTCAATTTGAGGTAGTATCTGATTCATGACTGGTTATTCCAGCAGACCGTATGTAAATCAAATGAGAATTTCCGCCTATCTCATTGGGAAATAATTTATTCAAGGCAGCTGTGATGATTTCGTAAATGTTGTGTAGTGAGCATCCGTGAAGACATCGGATCAATGCACATGTCCGGAAGTCATTGCACATGTGTATCGTGATATTCTTTATTCTAGAAATAAACAAAAATGTGAAGCATAAGATATAAACAAAAATTAGGGGTAAAAAAAAGCCAACACTTTCATCAGAAGTGTGACTGGTGTTTGAAACAAATTTTTTTATATACATAAATGTTTAATAATAACAGATGATGAGCAAAGTTCTGATTGGTTTCCTAGAAGACTTCCGTTTTGCAAAGTTCAATTTGAGGTAGTATCTGATTCATGATTTGTTATTCCAGCAGACCATATGTAAATCAAATGAGAATCTCATTGGGAAATAATTTTTCAAGGTAGCTGTGATGATTTCGTAAATGTTGTGTAGTGAGCATGCGTGAAGACATTGGATCAATGCGCATGTCCGGAAGTCACAAGCTGTGATAAATTTGTCAATGTTATATAGTGCGCATGCGTGAAAACATCGGATCAATGCGCATGTCTGGAAATCGTAGATGTCTATATAGTCAAAGATATCAACAGTCTATTAGAGATTGCAGGCAGAAGTGGACTTGTTGCCATCGATATTGGTGGCATATATAATACAAAATCATGGTAGCAAATATAAAAAGGAACACAATAGTTAGAGCAGCAAAGAAAATTACATAAAAATACATAAAAGAATACATATAAAAAATACTAACAAGAAAAATAGACGATTATTCAATGCAGATCTGTAGATATATATAAAAAAACAAATGTGGGGTAGATAAAGATATCATGATCAAAAAGTATTGTGATTAGAAAAATATTTTAATATAAAAAATGTATATTTAAAAAGATGTATATTATTAAAAATGATATGATTTTAAAATATATATATATATAAAAGAAAAACATTTTTTATTATAAAAAACTATGTAGATCGAAATCTGCCTTAAAACCGTTAGGATGCAAGGTGTTGAGATAAAAGACCCATTCCATTTCTCTTTTTCCTAACATCTTTATCAAATCTCCAACGGTTTTTTAAAGTGACTATTCCTATGAACTTTAATAAACCGGGATCGTTATTGTGGTGTGTGTTAAAATGTGATGACACCAGATGATTCTTGTAACCTTTTTGTATATTACACCAGTGTTCTCCAATTCTGATTTTAAGTGGTCTGGTAGTTCTACCAACGTACTGAAGACTGCACGGACATTCTAATAAATATATAGTGTTTTTAGTGTTGCAAGTTATAACGTTTTTTATTTTATATACTTTTTTTGTATTATTTGACTTAAAACTTAAAGTAAGTTTATCCATTTTCTTTGCTTTTACCAGCTACACAACAATTACATCTATAATAACCTTTGTTATCATTAAAACAATGATTTTGTGTTGAAAGATTATTCTGTGTTCATTTCATTGTAAGATGCTCCTATAAAAATTACTTTGGCATTTTCTGGAATAATTTTGTTGAGGATATTATCTTTTTTTAAAAGATGCCAATGTTTTTTTAAAATTTCTTTAACGTGCACATTTTTATTATTGCAGTCCAGCATTATTGGTAAATTAAAAGTATTGCTATTGTTTTTCTTTAGATTTTTTGGTTTAAACAGATTTTCTCTTTCTATTTTATTAATTTCTTCTATGATGAAAACAAGAGTGTCTCGATTGTAACCTTTTTGTATAAACTTTCTCTTTTATCCATCCAGCCATGCCCACTCAAAAATGGATAACTCTTCCCACTCTGCCATAATGAGATTGGCATAGCTGGGTGCAAAACTGGTACCCATAGCTGTGCCAGTGCTCTGTAAATAAAAAGAATCTCCAAACCAAAATAATTGTTTTTAAAAAAAATAATTTCTATAGCATCTATAATAAAATGTAATTGCATTTGGTTTATATCATTATACCTCTCTAAAATATTTTTAACGGTAATACATCCCTTGTCGTTTGAGATGATAGTGTAAAGTGATTGGACATCACATGTGATAAGCAGTGGTGTATCCTGGTTTTGTGCTGCCCTAGGCAGGACAAAACTCATTTTATACTATTAAGTTTATTTATAAGACCTATTGTGTCTTTTAGATATTTTGACTTTTGTGACATAAGGCTGTAGCATAATGTCTACATATTCCGATAAGTTACATAAAATAGACCAAAAACCGGAGACAATCGGTCTCCTGGGAGGGTTGGTGATGTCCTTGTGCATTTTAGGTAAAAAAAAATTACAGGTGTTTTTGGATGTAAAACATTAAGATAATTGAATTCCTATTGATCTAAAATCTTAGTTTGTTTACCTTTATCTAAAAGTTTAGTTAGTTTTATTTTGATGTTGGAAATAGGATCTTTATCTAATTTAATATACACATCGGTATTATTAAGTTGTCTACAGGCTTCTTTCTTTGTTATGAATTTTTTTGTTAACCCCTTCTGCTGTTACGGCGTTCTATGCCGTCGCGGCTTTAATGGGCTTTAAAGCCGTTGCGGCGGCATAGAACGCCGTAACGGCTTTCAGCCCCAGAGGACCGGCGGTACTCACCTCCGTTGCGATCCTCTTCTGGAGGGCTGCCAGACCGCCCAGACAGCCCTCCCTGGTGGGAAATGTAAAAAAAATAAATTAGACATGTGTAAAAATAAATTAAATACATTTATATATATATAATATATGTGTATATATTATATATATAATATATATACATATTATATAAATATAACGTCATACGTAATGTATTTTAATATTAATATAAGTATATATTAATATTAAAATACACTTAGAATGATGTTACATATCTATATTATATATATAATAGATATATACACATATATTATATATATATACGTATAATTACAATAATAAATAAAATAAAATAAAATAAATAAATGAAATTTTGAAACAAAATTTAATATAAATTATATATTCATATGTAATTTCATTCTAACTGTATTTTGTTATTAATATATATATCGGTAACAAAATACACTTAGAATGACATTCTAGATATAGCTATCTATATATAAAATACAAATAACCACAAATATATATATATATATATAGATAAATACATATAATTACATAAAAGATTACATTAGTATAGACGTAGAATTTAAATACCTATAAATGCATATATATTAAAATTCTACGTGTATATTTAAGTAATCTTTTAACATAATTATGTGATTTGATTAATTAAAATTTGATTGACATGCCTGACAACACAGGGAGAAAGTGCAGAGAATTTAATTCGCAAGCACTATATTTGGTGACTAAGTGGCTACTAAAAAAGACTAAACATACCCCACGTTCAATACCTTGAGTTGTCTACTTTTTCAAATGGTATGCCATTATGGGGGTAATTTTCATTCCTGGGCTACCACACCGTCTCAAAGGTAATATTACTAATCTGGCAAATTTCAATGTGAAAATGGAACGTTCTATATTTGACCCTGTAACTTTCCAAAACACCATAAAACCTGGTAATGGGGGGTACTGTTGTACTCGTGAGACATGGCTGATTACAAATATGTGCATTTTTTTGCAGTAAAACCTAACAGTATTATGACATTTACAGCTAAAATGTGAGGCGGAACTACACATTTTTAAAAAAAAAATTAAATTTCTCACAGTTTTTTAAATTTTAATCATAATAAATTATGTTTCATATATAAATATTTGATATGAAATGAAAGCCCTGTTTCTCCTGAACAAAATGATATATAATAAGGGTGGGTGTATTTAATATGAAATAGGTGAATTACGGTTGAACAGACATGTAGCGCAAATGCCAGGTTTTGTTTACATTTTGTTTTGTTCACAACGTGTACATTTGACTCTGTCCTTAAGGGGTTAATCAGGGTATCTAGATCTTTATGGACATTTTTTTTTCAAAAATTTCTAGAGCGCTGGATTTAAAATAGGACGGACAAAAAGTTGATTTCTTTTTTAAAGAGCTTTTTAAAAAAAAATTCAATTCCTCTTCATTATTTTGATTTATTTATGTTGTATTCACATTCTTTTTACCTATAAAGTAACATTTTAGAGTGGCATTTCTCACAAACTTGTTGATATCAATGAATGTTAAAAAAGGGTCGAAAGTCTTATTGGGGGCAAATTTTAGTCCCTTTTTTAAAACATTTAGTTCTGTTTCACTTAAAATGTTATTTGATAGATAAAAATATCCTGTGTTTTCTTGTTTAGTATTTGTAGTATTATTTAAAACATCTCTATTCTTCCTTTTTTTGTTTCTTCTTTCCGATCTTCTTCCTCTAAAATTCTTTTTTTGCTCTTTATCGGGGTGAGAGTTAGATGGTCTAATTGTCTCTCTCTCTTTGATAGGATCTCTAAAAAAGAGATCTTGTTAAATTGTTCTGAAAATGACAATACATGATATCTGTTGGTTTTAATGGGCTCATCAGATGTACTGGGTTTCTCTTTGTCTTGTCTACTATTGTTCTACTGTGTGTTGTCGCCTTTCTTTTTTTTTTTTATTCTTTATTTTTGTAGTGCGTAAGATTTTAACAGTCGCTTGTGAGGTACCCCAAAGGCAATCCTCTAGCGCATTTCAAACAGTAAGGCATAGAGGTACTTGTTAAGGCTAGCACATTTTTATACATATATATGATTACGTCAGGTAATAAACAGTATGTATTATCATTACTTAGTCTCTTCCATAACATAAAATAACTTCGTTGATAATGGGGGTAACAATCAAGCTAGGCAGTATGTAACTGGGGTAGACTGGGTTAAACACTCCCTTCACAGATTCTGGCTACACATGGTTATCTGTCGCCTTTCTTTTGTCCCATGCATATTTGTTTTCATTGTTGTCTTTTGATTTTGAAGCAGTTTGATTAAAAGTATGTCTGTATGTTTTTGGTCTCACTACAAATGGTGAATCGACT